AAACGGAAGGGAAAAAAATTAATAAAAATGAAAAGTAAAAATAATAAAAAGATTCCTGTCCAACAAATAAGAAAAACAAAAAAACTGACAGCAGTGGTAGCAAAAAACTCGATAAAATATAGGAATGAATAATGTGAAAGAGAAGCAGAGAATGAAAATGAAGGAGACAGAGAGTGGTGAGAAGGTAGAAAAAGATGAAGAAAATAAGATAAATATGAGGATGAAAGAAGAAGAAGAAAAAGAAAGAGAAGGAATATAGCAGAAAGCGAAATAAAAAAGGAAATAATAAATTAATGAAAAATTAACAGAGAAACGGAAGGAAAAAAATTAATAAAAAGAAAGTAAAAATAATAAAGAAAAAAGAAAGTGGATAAGAAATAAGTCAAATGAAAAGAAAGACTAAAATTGTTCAACAAATAAGAAAAACAAAAAAACTGATCATGTGGGGGGAAAAAAAGAGATAAAATAAGATTAAAAATACAAGGTTCTTTTTGTTTGTCTCTCCTCCTTTCGTAATCCATGTAATGGTAAACCTATCTTTTTGGTTGCCTCAACACACAAACAAAAACAAGAGAGGTTGCTGCAAAAATCAAAAATGAAGGACTTCGACCTTTGGTCAACATGCTTCTTATCCCGCAGACATTCTATTCAATAAAGAAAAGCACAAATTAGGTAGCTCTCACATGTAAATACACATATATTTGTGCATGCATGTGTGTGTATATATTTATTCAAGACAGAGCCAGGTCAGTATCATAAATAAAAAATTTGATCACCAATATATATTTTTATTTAGTTGACATGTTTTATGAAAACTAAAAGAGTGTTGTCCTCAAAAATGTTGAAGTTGTAAAAAAGTACCAGAAAAACTAAATGGACTTATGCAATTTTCTATCCCTGTGGCACTCAGTGAAACATGTATAAAAGAGTGGCTGCTGGCCAAATATACAACACACATGTAAATATATATATAGAGAGAGTGATGTATGCAAACAGTTTAGTCAAACAGAGTCTGATAGGAAGATTGTTGATCATAGTCTTTCAAATGAAACATTTTCTGAGTGATAGCCACAATCATTTGTATTTGAAATCCTGGCTTTTACAACTGAGAATTTGTTGAAAAATTAGCAACAACCTTAACCACATATGACATCCAAAATGTGTGCATGAAAGAGAGAGTGAGGGAGATTTTTTATTTGATCCATATTCAGCGTAAATAAAAGACCTGAGCTGGCAATTTTTTTTTTTATTTTAATCCGTTTTCATAATTCCCCAAATCCGTTCAGTATTTGTTTACAAGTACACAAACAATAAACAGGAGTTCAGCAGATATTTAAAACTGATACCAACACATATATCTTGAAGGCAGAGCTATGTGAAAAACCAGTGGGCTCATAGGGAGAAATTCTCACCTTGATTGCAAAATGTCAAGTTCGTTTCTCGCACTGCATGCTTGTCGAACTTCCTTCTGCCTCCATGCTTTCCAGCCAACTTTGATTTTCAAAGGTTTAAATGCAATGCAAATTACTCTTCACCTGTACTCATTCCTTAATGGTGTTTCTGTTTTCTAATTCTTCCACACACAATAACTTCTTGTGTCTCAGTGGCTTTAATACCTTGCTTGGAGTGAACTTGATTTTTTTTAAAAAAAAAAGGTCACTTCATATTAATTACCATAGGGGAATTGTCAGTTTTTAATCAGGCAAAATAAAGAGAAATTCAGATTTATTTCATGTTTGATTCAATATTTCTAAAATTCATCAGTTAATGTCTTCAACTTTAATTCCCCCATTGAAGTGGAGAACATTCAAGAGACACACTTGCTTCTCATCACTTTAAATAAAACTGAAATTTGCTTCTTTTTTCTTTTTGTAGATAATTAGAAACAAAACCATGTTTAAATAAAAGCAGTTACACGTGCTAACATATATTAATGTCTTTTAAAATATAGGCAAATTACACTCATCTCTGGATCATTATAAATTATATATGTTTTACACATTAATATGCACTACTCCTATATATCATATCATATAAATTATGTTTCGTATATCAAAAATTATATACATCTGTTATATACATAAGATTGATAGGATAAAAGACAAATAGGAAACGTTTATCAATCTAATATTTTGCTTTCATTAAAGCTTCATCAAAGAACGAGATATGGAGAGACATTCTGGTATGTTTTTTTGTTATCATTTTTCTCCAAATCTCTGATAGGACTTTAATAAAAAAAAAATGAAATATGTTAGATTGATAAATCATACTTATTATAAAACCCAGGTTGTGTGTGTGTGTGTGTATCTGTACGTTTATATATTGGATCGGATTTCCTACATTTTTCAAACGATTTCAACAAAACTTCACAGGATTACATAAAATTACCTTGTGGTGGTTCTGACAGTGCCAAAAATTGGAAAAACACAATTGTTTTTGCACAAAATCAATTTGAAAACACGATTAGCAAGTTATACTTATTATAAAACCCAGGTTGTTTGTGTGTGTGTGTGTGTGTGTGTGTGTTCGTTTATATATGGGATCGGATTTCCTACATTTTTCATCCGATTTCAACAAAACTTCACTTATTTTTTTTTGGCAGGTAGTGTTTCTTATTGTCTTGCACACTTTTTTTTTATTTTACATTCAGAATGCTTTAAAATTCCATTTACAAGACAATTGTTTATAATAAAATTCTATTCAATCGGTAGACCCATAACGATTGAAAACAATGTTTTTGTTTGAGTTTGGGTTTGACCAATTCGTAAAAAAAAAAAACAAAACAAAGCAAAAAAAACTAATTAAGACATGCGTATCCATCAACCTTAAAAAATAATCTTTGTCAATTTTATTTTTCAGTCTTTATTATGGTCGATACTTGATCTATCTCTTACTGTTACATCCCCAGGCAACACTGGGCTCTATTGCTAGTATTTACTATATGGCCTTTATCTTATCATTCT